AAAGTTGCTGCGGGCTGCATCCAACAATAGTCACATGACCCAAAGCCAAGGCACATGGTCACATGATCATCGGAGAAGGCTAGTACTGGCCAATCAGAACTTCAGTCCTTCCTTTTAACACACATTGAAAAACCCTGAACTCATCACTGCTCATGACCAGGGCCTCTGGTTCCTCCTGTATTAATTTGTATTGCAATTGTACTGTCTGCCCTCATGTTGTAAAGCCCCGGGGTGTAAACTGTTAGCGCCATATAAATGCTGAATAATAATGATAAGTGCCTAGGAGGTGGCAGCACTAGAGGGACCCCGCAGCAGCATTTGCTCCAGAAATAAGAGCTCTTCTCTGCTTCTATCAGTGTTTATTTCTAAGAACACCCCGGGGACCTTTCCAGGAACACGTTGTCACCATTGTGGGGTCTCCCGGGAAATCAGGGACAGCCACACCCTCTGACTCCGCCCCCGTCCTGCACGTAAACATCAACACATGCGCTCCCCGGAACAGCCAATCAGTGCTCGCCGCTTCCTCCGTCAGGCTTGTCATTGGCGGAAGACGGCCAGCGTTGGGATTGGCCGTTGCGGAATTGGCGGGCGTGGCTGTACGCCGCAGAGTCTCTGTGTGTGAGTGTGTGTGTGCTGTCAGTGCTTCCGGTGAGCTGAGCCGGTTCTGACCGGTTTGAAGAGGGACGTCAGTGACGGTTTGTGAGGACCGGCTCCGTACGAGTCAGGGGGCTCCGCCTTTGGTGATGTGAGAGAATAACGGCGCTGGGGGAAGGGGGTGTCACAGACAACTCAGTGTTGGGGGGTCCCTCTATGCGTGATGGGGAGGGGGGGATGTTCTATCATGTGACTGGGGGGTCCCTCTATGTGTGATGGTGAGGGGGGTCCTGTCATGTGACTGGGGGGTCCCCTCTATGTGTGATGGGGAGGGGGGTCCTGTCATGTGACTGGGGGGTCCCTTTATGTGTGATGGGGAGTCCCTTTATGTGTGATGGGGAGGGGGGCTCCTGTCATGTGCTTGGGGGGTTTCCTTTATGTGTGATGGGGAGGGGGGGTTCTGTCATGTGTCTGGGGGGTCCCCTCTATGTGTGATGGGGAGGGGGGCTCCTGTCATGTGTCTGGGGGGTTCCCTTTATGTGTGATGGGGAGGGGGGGTTCTGTCATGTGACTGGGGGGTCCCTTTATGTGTGATGGGGAGTCCCTTTATGTGTGATGGGGAGGGGGGTCCTGTCATGTGCTTGGGGGGTTTCCTTTATGTGTGATGGGGAGGGGGGGTTCTGTCATGTGTCTGGGGGTCCCCTCTATGTGTGATGGGGAGGGGGGCTCCTGTCATGTGTCTGGGGGGTTCCCTTTTGTGTGATGGGGAGGGGGGGTTCTGTCATGTGACTGGGGGGTCCCTTTATGTGTAATGGGGAGGGGGGTTCTGTAAAGTGACTGGGGGGTCCCTTTATGTGTGATGGGGAGAGGAGGTTCTATCATGACTGGGGGGTCCCTTTATGTGTGATGGGGAGGGAGGGTCCTGTCATGTGACTGGGGGGGGGGTCTCTCTATGTGTGATGGGGGGGGGGTCCTGTCATGTGTCTGGGGGGGTTCCCTTTATGTTTGATGGGGAGGGGGGTCCTGTCATGTAAACGGGGGGGTCACTTTATGTGTGATGGGGAGGGGAGTTGTCATGTGACTGGGGGGTCCCTCTATGTGTAATGGGGAGGGTGGGTTCTGTCACGTGACGGGGGGGGTCCCTCTGTGTGATGGGGAGGGGGGGGGGGGTCTGCCATATTACTGGGGGTCTGTCTATGTGTGATGGGGAGGGGGCGTCCTGTCATGTGAATGGGGGGGGGGCCCTTTATGTTTGATGGGGAGGGGGAGGTCCTGTCATGTGACTGGGGGGTCCCTTTATGTTTGATGGGGAGGGGGGTCCTGTCATGTGACGGAGGGGGTCCCTCTATGTGTGATGGGGGGGTCCTGTCATGTGACTGGGGAGACCCTTTATGTGTGATGGGGAGGAGGGGTTCTGTCATGTGACTGGGGGGTCCGTCTATGTGTGATGGGGAGGGGGGGTTTTGTCATATGACTGGGGGGGTCCCACTATGTGTGGTGGGGAGGGGGTCCTGTTGTGACTGGGGGGGTCCCTATATGTTTGATGGGGAGGGGGGGTTCTGTCATGTGACTGAGGGGGTCCCATTATGTGAGATGGGGAGGGGCGGGTCCTGTCATGTGACTGGGGAGGTCCCCTCTGCACTGCTGTAGTCACTGGTGAGGATTGGGGTGTTCCGTTATGTGATTGGAGTGCCCCCTCTGTGTTGGGGGTCACAGTTGGGGATTGGGGGGGTTCTGTCACATAACTGGGGTGTCCCATGTTAGGGTCACTGGTAGTGGGATCATGTATCAGAGGGGTCGCCCTAGTGTTGGGGGTCACTGGTGTCAGGGTGGGGTTCTGTCATGTGACTGGGGTGTCCCCTTTGCACTATGTTGGGGTCCCTGATGGGGGTTGATGTTAGAGGGATCCACCTACTGTTTGGGGGTCACTGGTGTGTGTGGGTCTTCTGTCATGTGACTGGGGTGTCTCCACCTCTTTTATTTGGGTGTTATTGGTGGTGGGATGGGGGGAGGGCCTTTCATGTGACTGGGGGGTGCACCATGTGTTGGGGTTTGCTAATGTTGGGTTAATTTTTATCATGTGATTAAGGTGTCCCCTGTGCACTGTTGGGGGGTCGGGTCACAGTTGGTGGGGGGTTTCTGTCATGTGACTTGGGTACCCCCCTCACTATGTTGGGGGTCACTGGTGGTGGGATGGGGGGGCTTGTCATGTGACTGGGGCTGTTGGGGTCACTGACTGAGTAGGATGGGGGGATCCATCCTGTGTTGGGGGTCACTGACTGACTAGGATGGGGGAATCCATCCTGTGTTGGGGTCACTGAAGGGAAGCCCCCCCATTTCACCCTTAGAGACCCCAGCACAGAGTGGACACCCCAGCCACATTACAAGCCCTCCCCCCATCCCACCACCAGTGACCCCAACACAAGGAAGTGGGGAAACCCCAGTCACATGACAGACCTTCCACCCACCCCCAACACCAGTGACCCCAACATGGTGAAGAGGCCACACCCCACTCACATGACAGACCCTCCTCCATCCCGACACCACTGATCCCCCCCCAATACAGGGTGGATTCCCCACCATCAGTGACCCCAAAAGAGTGGGCACCCCAGTCACATGACAGACCCTCCTCCATCCCACCACAAGTGACCCACCAACATAAGGAAAAGGTGACAACCAAGTCATATGACATTACCCCAACACTGAAAAGACACCCCAGTCACATGACAGACCTTCCCCCCCACCCTAACACCATTGACTCCCAATACAGTTCAGAGGGACACCCCAGTCACATGACCGTACCCCATCCTGACACCAGTGACCCCACACAGAGTAGACCCACATTCCCCACTACCAGTGACCCCAACAATGTGGACATCTCAGTCACATAACAGACCCTCCTCCATCCCACCACCAGTGACCCTCAACATAGTGGGGAGGGGGGGGGGTTACCCAATTCACATGGGGGGGAATCCACCCTGTGTTGGGGTTACTGATCGAGTAGGATGGGGGGATCCACGCTGTGTTGGGGTCACTGAGTAGGATGGGATTCTATCATGTGACTTGGGTGGTATTCCTCACTATGTTGGGGGTCACTGGTGGTGGGATGAAGGGGGTTCTGACATGTGACCTGGGGTTGTTTCGGTCACTGATGGAGTAGGATGGAGGGATTCACCCTGTATTGGGGGTCACTGATGGATTAGGATGGGGTTCTGTCAAGGGGATCCAACCTGTGTTGTGGTAATTGATGGAGTAGGATGGGGGATCCACCCTGTGTTTGGGGACACTGGTGAAGTAGGATGGAGGGATCCACCCTGTGTTGGGGGGGTCACTGATGGAGTAGGATGGTGGGATCCACCCTGTGTTGGGGACACTGGTGAAGTAGGATGGAGGGATCCACCCTGTGTTGGGGGGGTCACTGATGGAGTAGGATGGTGGGATCCACCCTGTGTTGGGGGGGTCACTGATGGAGTAGAATGGAGGAATCCACCCTGTGTTGGGGGGTCACTTATGGAGTAGGATGGAATTCTGTCATGTGAATTGGGTAACCCCCTCCCCCCCCCCCTCCCATGTTGAGGGTCACTGGTGGTGGGATGGAGGAGGATCTGGGATGTCCACGTTGTTGGGGTCACTGGTGGTGGGGAATGGGGGTCTACTCTGTGTGGGGTCACTGGTGTCAGGGAGGGGTACGGTCCTGGGACTGCAGTGTCCCCTCTGCACCGTATTGGAAGTCACTGGTGTTGGGGTGGGAGGTCTGTCATGTGACTGTGGTGTCTTCTCAGTGTTGGGGTTTTGTCATATGACGTGGGCGTCACCTTTTCAATATGTTGGGGCTCACTGGTGGTGGGATGGAGGAGGGTCTGTCATGTCACTGGGGTGCCCATTCTGTTGGGGTCATGGATGGAGGGGGATGATAAGGGGGGGAGGGGGATCCACCCTGTGTTGGGGGTCACTGGTGTTGGGATGGGTGGATAGTCTGTCACGTGACTCTTCCTTGTGTTGGGATCACTGGTGGTGGGATGGGGGAGGGTCTGTAATGTTTCTGAGGTATCCTCTTTGCTGGGGTCTTAAATGGTGAAATGGGGGGTGCCCTTTGTTTTGTGGTATCTGGTGGTGCAACCTATCCTGTGGTTGGAGTGTCTTGTCTGTAAGACTGGTAGGGAGATGGGGGACTATATCATGGCTGAGAGGAGGGGTCCCCTCTGCATTGTATTGGGGTCACTGATGTGGGATGGAGGGGTTCTATACTGTGTCTGGGGTGGTCCCTTGTGTGTTGGGGTCACTGGTGGTGGGAATGAGGCGGATTCGGGGGGGGTTGGCGTCACAGACCTTTCCTCACTTTCACTCTTACTCTGACACATATTAGTGCTGACAGCTATGTGATGTCTCTGGTTTCCTGTCATTTCAGGGAAGTCCTCCAACAAGGCTGCACCATGACACCTTCTCGGGTCTCCTTCCACATCAGAGGGGCAACAGAGCAAGGTAAAGCCATGGCTCCCCTCCCCCAAATATGCACACATGCACATTCTAATATGCATATCTTAGACCTAACGTTTAGTGAAAGACCTTCATCCATCGCTGGTCACTTTTCAGAGAGTGGTAAGCATTACCGCCAGTGTGAAAGTGCGCAGCATGTAGCACTTTGTCTCGTGTTCTAGGTGGTGATGTTCCTGAGATGCAAGGCCAACTGTACACACCCTCCCCCCACCACTGTCTGACCATGGATCTAGAAAGGTGCCAGATATTTATATTAGCAATGTATGACATTGAATGCCATGGGCAGGTACCAGACCTCAAGACAAGCTCTGTCACTAGATATGCAGGGAGAAGGTGGTGTGCAGTTCCCCTGTTTCATACCCTCCATCTTGAATCTGCCCCCCTGGAGATCAAGCTTCATTGGTTGCTAGGATGCAGGCAGCCAGGCCTCAGTGTTTAGTTGCTAAGACACAGGCAGCCTGGCTGCCTACGCCCTAGCAATCAGTGAAGCTGCATTGCCAGGTAGCAGATCTAGCTGAGCCTGCTTAAAAAGACAGAGGGGGTGAAACCGAGAAACTGACAGCGTTTCCTACAGGCCACTCTAAACTGGGAGTGGTGACAACTGAACTCAATAAATCGGGCTTCTGTCAGGGGAGGAGCAGAGAAGATAGAAACAAGGAAGAAAGGTGGATGTTCTTCACATTTCTTTAGAGGTTCATTGGAGAAACTAATACAGATAATTAAACATGAATGTATGGATCTGTATTCATTTTTTTTTAAATACACATGCTTTTGGGCAATGTTCTGCTGGGAAACGTTGGGTCCTGTCATTCATGTGGATGTTAGTTGGCATGTACCACCTACCTAAACATTGCTGGTGACCAAGTACACCCCTTCAAGGAAATGGATTCCTCTTATGGCTGTAGCCTCTTTCAGCAGTATAATGTGGCCTGCCACACTACAACATTGGTTCAAGAATGGTTTGAAGAACACGACAATGACTTTGAGGTGTTGACTTCAAACTCTCCAGATCTCAATCCAGTAGTGGCAAAAAGGGACCTACTCCATATTAGGTGTCTGGTCATGAAGTGATGGATGATCGGTTTATCTATGATAATGAAAAAAATACATACAAAATGACCTTTATTGTAACTCAGGTACCCAACTTAAAATCAATTAAAATACCACAGCCATGCAGGGAAAATTAACAGACGCTGTAGTAAAGTTATAGATCTTTGATAGTTGGATGTATAAATTCTTCAATAAAGATTCTTTGCAACAAATACGTTTCCAATATTCCAAAGGGATACGTGATATAAAAGCATTTTAGATTCACCCAGGCCATTTACTGCTTATCGTAACTCCTTCACGCCTAAGGGTAAAACAAATCTAAATGCCTAAGCACAATTTTGCAACATTGAGATGTGTTAGTAAAACCGTACATATCATCACAACTACTCTGTACATCCTGGTGGATTATACCGCGTTTTTTTTTTTTTTTTCCAGGACAAATTGGGCTTTCATTTGATGGTAAATGGTAATGGATAGCTCCTAATTTGTTTTTTTTTTTTTTTTTTTTATTAATATTATCAAAAGAAACCTGGGCCAAAATAGCTAAATTAAAAAAAAATATATATTTTTTACTGTGTGTTTCTTGTTACTACCATAACCTACCACCAAAAAACAACCCAAAATAAATTTTCCAGCTCTTGACGATCACAGCGATACCATATATGTATATGTATATGTTATTTGTTGTTTGTACCTGTAGTACAGCCCAGAAACATTAGTTCTCATTTTGAGTTTTGTTTACTTAAAACACACTGACACCAATACCAATTTTTTTTTATTTTTACCTTGACCTTTGACCCTGACCCAAACACTTACCCTGGCACTGAACTAGATCAAAACTATGTAAAATGCAAAATCTAGGTATTTTTTCTTTATTTTTTAATATTTATTTATCTTTTTTCTTTTAACCCTCTTTTTTCCCCTCTGTTCCAGGAGTTAGAGAGATACAATGTATCTCTACTTCATTCACAGAGAGAAAAAAAAAAAAAACAAGGAGCCGGGCTGTACAGTGACTGATCACTGTGATAGCCAATCAGAGGCTATCACAGCGATCATGTGACCTGGAATCAGGAGTCACAATTGTTAGAATGGGACCCGGGGGGGTCTCGGTGACACCCCGGTCTTTGAGCTGGGAGCGCACAGTGCGATGCATTCCCAGCAGAAAGACAGGTATGCAAATATGCGGCCCCACGGAAAAAAAGCCCAGTTCTGTGAGGCCGCATATTTGTGTTAACGTCGGCGTCAAGGGGTTAAAGAATTAGTTCACCTTTCTGATAAAAAATGCACATTGCAATTTTTTTTATCTGCAAAAAAAACAAAACAAAAACAATTTATTATTTTTTGTTGCCTGAGCCTGTAATGCATTGCTCCAGCGATCAGCAGACCTGTCAGTATGTCGGCTTGCCTGTACGGGGTGTGCGGGCAAGCAGATATACTGATTATTATTACATTACATCGAGTTTATATAGCGCCAAAGGGTTTGCTCAGCGCTGTACAATAGAGGGGGGGGGAACAATACATGAAACAGTACAGCAACTACAAACAGCACACGAGGGGTTAGAGGGCCCTGCTCTTTCGAGCTTACAATCTAGGAGGGAGGGGGTAGTGGTACAGGAGGAGATGGCTGTGGGGGATGGAGTGGTAGGAGGAATGAAGGAGAACGGCAGTTAGGTGAGGGTGGGGTAGGCTTCCCTGAAGAGATGGGTTTTCAGGGAGCGCCTGAAGGTGAGGAGGGAAGGTGACAGTCTGATGGATTGGGGTAGTGAGTTCCAGAGGATGGGGGAGGACCTGGAGAAGTCATGCAGACGTGCGTGGAAAGGAGGAGACCAGGGGGCAAGATAGAAGGAGGTCCTGTGAGAAGCGAAGGGTACGGGTGGGGTGATACCTGGGAATCAGGTTGGTGAGGTAGTTAGGGGCAGTGTTGTGAATGGCTTTGTAGGTCAGAGTAAGTAGTTTGAATTTGATGCGTTGGGTGATAGGGAGCCAGTGGAGGAATAGGCAGAGGGGGGTGGCAGAGGTGGAGCGGTTGGTAAGGTGGATGAGTCTAGCCGCCGAGTTCAGGATGGTCTGAAGCAGGGAGAGCCTGCACTGGGGTAGGCCGGTGAGGAGGGAGTTGCAGTAGTCGAGGCGTGAGATAATCAGGGAGTGTACGAGTAGTTTGGTGGTGTCTGGGGTAAGGAAGGTGCGTATTTTGGCGATGTTGCGAAGGTGGAGCCTGCATGTGTTTTGTAAGTGATTTGACATGAGGTTGGAAGGAGAGGTTTGAGTCCAGAATGACGCCAAGGACTTTGGCTTGCGGGGCGGGATTGATGGTGGTGTTGTTGGTAGTGATGGATATAGGGAGAATCCATGAAATACAACAGCGCTCATAGTGCCGTGGTAGTTCATTCACTAAGGCTGCCAGGACTTGTAGTTTCCCCATTCATAGAGCACGACCACGTTTTTTTAAAAGTAGATAGCGGGGGGATCCCCCTCCAGCTGTCAAAGTTGGGGAGCGGGGGCGGTCCATGTTACACCCTGAATATGGGTGTAACATGTTATGAAAGGTGAATTTTATCCTTTAAATACAGTGAACCAAACCGTTTTAATTGCATCGTATTTTACACAAGGTGACCGCCCATCAAAGCTGTCAAGCAGTCTTGCAAAGCAATGAGTCACTTGGTTATCATAGCAATATATTTTGTATATCACAGTATGCAATGTATAATCAAACAACATGGCAATTAATAGTGTCACAACCTCCTGAGGATCCCCAATAATGAGCAGATATTTGGGATATGTAGTAATTTCTATATAAACATAATAAAGGTGCTGCGCTATATAAATTGAATAATGATGCTAAGTATATGTGTCTGCAAATCAAAAAACAATATAAAATCTGATACTGTAGCTCATAAATGTTTGCTACGTAACAAAACAATATGTAATGTGCAATCATAAATAGTAGTGACTCTATAGTCCAAATGAATGAATAGGAAGTCCTTAACCATTTCAATACCGTGCAATTTTACACCTTCCTGCCCAGGCCATTTTTCAGGTTTCAGCACTCTCACACTTTGAATGACAATTGCGCGGTCATACAACATTGTACCCAAACTAAAATTTTATCATTTTCTTCACATAACTAGAGCTTTCTTTTGGTGGTATTTAATCATCGCTGGGGTTTTTATTTTTTGCTAAATTAACTCTTTGTTTCTGTTATAAAAGTTTACAAATAAATAATTGTTCTTCATAAATTTAGGCCGAGATGTATTCTGCTACATGTCTTTGGTGAAAATAACCCAAATTAGGATGTATATATTTAGTTTGTAGGAAAGTTATAGAGTTCACAAACTATGGTATAGATCTGAATATTGATCAATCTTGAAGTACTGACAGCCAATCTAATTTCTTGAGGTCCAAGAATGTCAGATATCCCCCAATAGTACAGATATCCCCCAAATGACCCCTTTTTGCAGAGTAGACAGTCCGACCTACTTCATAAGAGGCATGGCAAGTTTTTTGAAGTTGTATTTTTTTGTCATAATTTTCCGGAAAATGAAAAAATTAAAAAAATTTTTTTACAAAATTTTTTTAAATTGTTTTTTTTTTCTAACCAAATAAAAAATTTTTAAAAAAGTAAAAATTTTTTTGGGGGTAAGTTTATTTTTTTTTTTTTCAAATTTTTAAGCAAAAAAATTTTTGCAAAAAAAAAAATGTGAAAGTATTCATTTTTTTTTTTTTTTTTTGCACGGGGGATTTACGAACACTAACCTTTAATAGTTTGGAAAAGGGGTTTAAAAAAAAAAAAAAACTCTTTTGAACATCCATTTTCCCTTTTAAGGACCTTTTTTACAGCATAATTTTCCCAACGGGGGAAGGGATTTTGGGGGCCTTCCGGGTCACCCTGACTTCCCCCCCCCTTTTGCTTTGGCGCGGGGGGGCCCCAAAAATGG